ATATATATATATATATATATATAAAAGTTCAGTTTGTGTAAAAGTTAGTTTAAGTATATAAAAAAAACCTTTCATAAAAAAAAAGTATTATATTGAAATGTTGGTGTGATAAACAATTATCATCGATCTGCTTTTAACAAAAACGACGTCATAACTAGCTAGAAGATGTCGTGCCAACTTTTTCTTTCTTTGGCATTTAACTCCATTCTCCAAGGAGTAAGCAGCCATTGCTATATTATTGCATGAAGCTATGTCTCTATTTTTCAAAATAAAGACTAAGAATATCATATGCTAAACTACACAAAAAAAAAAAAGGATCTAGGAGAGAGAGAATGAGAAAATGAAAAATGGTTAAAATACATGCATAGTGGAAAATCAACATTGTCTATACTTACAATTAAGGAACCGAGTTGACTCTTAATTTTTAGTTTTTTTTTAAATAAACCATTTAAAAATCCAATGAATATTGGATGAAAAGTAAAATATTGCTGTTATTTATTTTAAAATTCGTGCTTCATGTCTCAATCTCAACATGGCCTACAAAATTACTTAGAGATGACCTACATAAAAAGTATGAAACAAATTTAACATAAGTCATTTGAACCGAACTTGTTTGATTCAAAGCCAACTTTCATTGACCTTTTTGTGTAATATATATATATAAGATGTTAAATCTATTAACCTACCAGAGCATTATAGTGAAAAATGAACATTCTTTTTTATTTTTAAGTTTCACTCAAAAGTAACTAATTAAAAAAGAGACCAACAAATCTTTCTCGCTCAATTTCTAGACTAGAAAATTCCAAGTCTTATTTTATAAGATAATGAAAATGAATCCTTATTGAGGTTTTATATATTACTTATTAATGTAATAAAAAATTCGTATCTATATCATTTCATAGAAATTAATTAACATCTAAATGTGTGATTTTATCAAAACTTGTAAGTATTTTCGAAGAGAAATATTCAAAGTTTTCACATGATAATGTAAAAAATTAATATGAGTGTTTATTTTTTGTAAGATAAATTAGTTTTAGAGGTTATTTTCAAAATTACACATCATCAAACAGATCAATGCAAAATTTTAAATACTTTAATTTGATGAGTTAGACTGTTCAAATTGTTGAAGACTTGAAAATAAATAATTAAATTTAATAAAGAAAGAGAATGTTGAACAATACTTTCAATTATAAGATATTTTTCACTTTTAGTAGTAATATCAAATGTATTTATTTTACTTTAACATTCAATTATAAATTATATATATCAATGTATGCTTATCCTTCTGAAACTAAGTTCAAATCTTTTAAATAAAACTTTTATGAATATGACTGAAAAATGAGACTTTACTAAAAATGGTTAATTAGTCTTTTAATGAAGAATAATCATTGATAAAATTGATTTATACATCAAACTAATAATATAGTTAAAAATTATAAATTATATATAATACATAACTTTTTACTTTTATAATAATTATTTTAAAAATATATTTATAATAACATTTAATTAATTTGTTAAAGTCTTAACATATATTTTCTTAAAGTATGAACTGAATTTAAGCAATCTCCGTAAGAGTAGTCACATGCTTGATCTTGCTTGGTGTATTAACTTAATAAGATTCATGTAAGTGTGAGAAGACATGCAAATTAACCCTGTCTTCAGTTCTGAGGTTCCAATTCAATTAACTCCATGTCCCTATATACTTCTCTGAAAACTTTGTTCCTTGCACGTGCATTACAACATGGGTGCACCTCTCTCCTCAAAATACGCACGTCTTTATTATTACTTGACCCAGCAACTTTTAAGCCAAAGTTTCAGCTTTTAATTACTTTGAGTTTTTGTTGTCACTTTTTTGGTTCCCACTTTACCTCTATTATTAAACTCATATTTGCTTCCTTAGACAAACAAAAGGAAAATTGAGGATGGTAGAGATGAAATGTCTTGTATATGAAACTTAACGAAAGAGTACAATAATGGTTCTAAGTTGGAGCCAGACATAGAGCAGACACTACCCATACCCGAATATGGTTTTGTGTACATCTCTGATTTAAAGGGTTCCTTCCAAACTGCAACCACTATTACCACGCCCTACTCTTTTATATGCTCTTCCTGTCTTTTTCTTTTGTTCCTATTTTTGAGGCTTTTCCTTTGGTTTGTCTTTGGTTAAGAGAGAAAAAAAAAAAGTAGAGAAATAGTGGAGAAAAAAATGGGTAAGTAAAAATAGTTAAGAAATAAAATAAAATTTAGAGTGTGTTTGAAAATTAGTTAAGTTCAACTCAATCGGAGTTAAAAAAAAACTACACACAAGATTTTATTTTATTTTTCTGTATTAGAATGTGTGTTTTCTGTTGGACGTGATTTTTTAATTTCTCACGTCCTCATTTGATTCCAAATCTTTTAACTTATTTTCACTATCCTATTTTCATTTTCTCCTCCCCATTTCTTACCTATTTTATTTCACATAATTAAGATACGACAAAATGCAATCAGAGTTATAGTGATCTTTGTTTAAATATTTACTTTTGACCACATGTATTACCTACATAAGATAGTTTTACTTGAATAGAATATAATTATTATAGACAAAAAGTCTTTCTTTCAAATATTTAATATAATTATATACGATTTGAATTTGAGACACTAGTTGGAATAATTTCACGCACCGATGAATATTTTATAGGTTGAAATGTTGAAATGTGTTACTTAGTATTGACGGCTTCTATTATTATCTTAAATTCGTTAATTAAAAAAATAATTATTCATTAAGAACATATAATCAAAGGCTATTTTGATAAAGAATTATGATTCTATCAGTACCTACTTAAACAGTAGCAACATCATGTACAAGAAATTATTAGTAGTCTAAATTTATCATTATCCGTTTAGCTCTATCGATCTTTTATATAACATAATTTTGAATGTTACTAAAGTGTCTTGTTTAAACTCGTTCAAAAAATAATTTATTTTAATAATGAAAAGATTCTCAACATAAAATCATAAAATCACTTGTATAATTTATGTATGGAATCCTAATCACTCCCAGAACTAATAGTAATAGTAATAGCTTCAAAACCCAAAATTTCTTATCTCGATTATTGAAAAGCAATATATATTAGATGAACTGTTTGAATAAATAGTAAAACATGTGAACCCTAGTATACTACCACCTACCACTACCAGTACATGTTATTGTTTTATTTCAAAATTTACATAGTACAATATGCGACGGTAACAAAGTAAAGTTGGTCCAATGCCAATACCAATATTCATGTTTCACATAACAATCTACTTGGATCGAGACCCGTGGAAAGTTGCGTTTCAACTTGCCCTGCGCTTATCATGACTCTGTACCAAGCAACCTAGTGGGACGAAACACCAAACATCTTAAAGAAAAACAGACTTAACTTGACGAACCAACCATGTCCAGGTTCATTCAAGCGAAAATTACTAGAGTAATAATAAATTCAACTTTGTCCACCATCTTAATTTTGGTCAAACAAACACCCATTTCATCAACTACAACAAATCATTCAATTAAAAAAAGCCAAGAAGATGTAGAGATTAATTATAACATAGAGAACCGAACCAGGTCAATATTATTATTATTATTATCATAAGATAAGTGCATGAGAATTGACAAGAAACAAACAGTAGTGGAGCATGCCCCATTTACAGAACCAGCACCTAACCATCCGACCTTTTTTAATGATACACATTGATTATTCCTTATGAGAGAGATTACAATTTCTCAACAGACTGGAGAAGAAGAAATCAATTACAATACCCCTTTTGTCTCAGTACTGCAATATGTCTGCAGAGGCCATAATAGGGTGATTGAGATAGCCCATGTTGAAGGGATTGAAGAAGGTATTATTATTATTATTATTATTATTATTAAGCATAGGGTCAGCGGTGGAAGCATTAAGAACCTCGATTATCTCGTTGAGAGAGTCCAACCTGTGGCTAAGCTCACCCACCTGTGCCCTGAGCACAGAATTCTCAGCCTCAACGCTCAAATACTGCTGCGTGGTGATGTTGACGCTTGTGAGAATCTGCTGATTCTCCTTCCTCAGCTGAGCCACCTGCGAAACCAGATCGTCCAAGTGCTTCTGCTTCCTCATGCGAGATCTTCGCGCAGATTCCCGATTCGATATCATTCTCTTCCTCTTCCTCTGATCCATCATCACCTGCAAATCCCCCTCCGAACCCGAGTTCTGAAGCTGAGTCGACGACCCCGAACACGTTCCACTCGATGAAGCCATGTTCAACCCTTCTCAGTTGGCACCACCCAGATACACAAAACACAAACTTTGATACAAAAATAGTATATTGAAGATAATAATAATAATATAATAATACTAATAGTACTAGATAATAATAATAATATAGAAGATATTGCGTTAAAGTAATTAAGGGTTGAAGATCATGAAACGTAGTAAAGCCAGTAAAGGAAGGCAACTGAGAAGGATTGAACTAAATGGGTCCTGCGCCGAACAGTGGAATTGATCATACACCCGGAAAAGAAGATTTCACTGAGAATCGGATACATGAATTTCAAACATCAACAACAAGATGTTGGACATTTAATATGAGAAAAGTTTGAGGCTTGTGATGTGGGTTGTGGAGGTTGAAGAAGAAGGAGAAGAAAGGGTGGGGTGTTATTAAGAAAGGTGGAAACTCAACATGTGGAAGAAAGGGTTGGCACAGAGAGAGAGGTGTCACGGACCATAGGATATATAACAAATATCTGTCTATCTAGAAAGTGTGATAGGGGAAGAGGAGTTTATGTGATTCTAGGGGAGAATTTATAGAACTAAAAAAGCCAACAACTTGTTGTTGCTCTAATTAATTAAATTGAAAAAGGAGGTTTATTAAGTAAAAAATATAAGAGAGAAGACACCACAAGGGTACAGAGATACAGCTGGGAAGCAACAATGCATCATCATAGTTTAAGATACATCCAAAAGTAGCATCACACTCTCACTCTCCCACGACACAACAGTTTTCTGAACTTGTGTCCACTAAAACCACACATCTCTTTTACCTTTAAAACCTACAAATATAGAATTATAAATTATTTAATGTATTCCAATTCTAATCAAACTTTACTTTTTATTTTCAGAAATTTAAAATTATTATTTTAAATAAGTTTTAGTTTCTGTAAAATAATTTTTATTTATCACTCTAATATTTAAAATTATTAATTTTATCTCTAACATTTATTTTAAAGATTAAAAAATATTAAAAGTATCACATGGCACGTAGGAGTAGAGATAAAAACAATAATTTGTATTTTTAAGGAATGAAAATTTAAGAATTTTTTTAAAATAAATTAACTCACTTGTTGTACATGATTAAAATCACATTTAAGTAAGCTATTAATTAAAAATAATTTATTTTATATTGTATTTTACTTAAATTTAACATGCTGTATCATCATAATATTGATGTGAGAAAATGTGAGGATTTAACAGTGCAACAGAAAGGAAATTATTCTAGCAGGTTATTGAGTAAACTTTTTCCATCTTTTTCACTTGTCCCCCACAGAGTGAAAAGCCTCTCTGATACGACAATGAAGTGTCGGAACAATTAAATGACCCCCCATCCTCACAGAGTATCTCATGGCTACCACTGTACCTTACCTTCTTAAATTTTATGTTCAATTTTCAACTTTTTTAAAATACAAGTTAGTATGAACCATTCTTTTTTTTATTCTCAAACATGTATAATACTTTATATTTTAATAATTAAAAACACAAATAACAATTATAGCTAATAATTAAAATGACATAATCGAAATAACAATAAAGAATATTATCATTTTTTATATTTGTATTTTAAGTGATATTTAAATAGAAATATTTTAATCAAGATTAGTCTAATAATGAGAGTTGAGATCATATGTATTAAATATTAATGTTTCAATCTTGTTGTGATTTTAATTCTTATAAATAAAAAATAATTATTCAAAAGTTAATATTAAATAATTTTATATTTTTAAATTCGTATAAAATATTACAAAAATTTAAAAGAATCAAACTTAGATTTTCACATATCTAATTTAATATTTTGATAATTAATAGTAGTATCTTTTATCCATTTTAAAAAATAGTAGTATATTAAAGACACGTTTAAGAGGGTTTTTTTTTTCTCTCTCCTTGAAATGGGTCTCTAATCAAATATAAAACCAAGGGTGGTGGAGGGTTTTAGACTTTAGTTGCACATTTTCCTTGCGGCTACATTCAATGAACTAACTATTTTTCGTCAATTAAGTTATCATAAAATTCCTTTATCGTGCTGTGATCCCGATTCCGGTGTTTTTTATATATTTATTTTTACATAATCAAAGATGCACAGAGATGTTATAATACGGATAAAATAAATTGGATGAACGGATATAAAAGGAAATGCATATGCAATTATGTTTTATTCCATCTTGTTTTATTTATCATCAAACTATTTATAACTTTTTTTATTATTATTTTTTTCTTCTATTTACATGTATTCTCTTTCAAAGAAAATTATATTAAGAGTTAATTATCTATACACTGTCAGTGTAAAGTTTTTTTACACTGACAATCAATTAAATCTTTCAATTGTATCATGTTATTATAAACACATTTATTTTTAATAGTAATATAACACAATTAAAAAATCTAATTAGTTATCAGTAAAAAAAACCTCTATACTAACAGTATATAGGGGATTAACTCTTATATTAAAAGTATTAAATATAGAGATCTCTTTCTGCTAGATCTAAGCTTCATTGACTATTTTCTTTTCTTTTTAACTTTTCTACTTTTTTCTCCATAAAATAAAAGTTTATAATAATAATAATAATAATAATCACCTTAAAATATACTATTATTTATTCATCTTACAGTAATGGAAGATTTTATATTATAAACTTTAATCTTTCAATTGTATCATGTTATTATAAACACATTTATTTTTAATAGTAATATAACACAATTAAAAAATCTAATTAGTTATCAGTAAAAAAAACCTCTATACTAACAGTATATAGGGGATTAACTCTTATATTAAAAGTATTAAATATAGAGATCTCTTTCTGCTAGATCTAAGCTTCATTGACTATTTTCTTTTCTTTTTAACTTTTCTACTTTTTTCTCCATAAAATAAAAGTTTATAATAATAATAATAATAATAATCACCTTAAAATATACTATTATTTATTCATCTTACAGTAATGGAAGATTTTATATTATAAACTTTGATTTTGTGCAATTGTTAATATGATGAATTGAAATAATAGAGAAACATGTTAAGTGCCACTAACTATGGTTTATCGGCCTTTTATTTTAAAATTAGTTATATAATTTTAAGAATTATTTAAAAAGTATTTTTATTCTATAAAACTTAAAATAATTATTTTCAAATTCTTTAAAAAAGAAACATAATTTATCATTAATATAAGAGATATCACTTTTAGTAACTTTATTTTCACTATTTTTATATTGACATATTTGTTTTTAATTATATTTTATAATTTTGTGTTGTTTTTTTGGAACCGTTCATTAATAACTGTTTTATTTTTTTAATGCAGAGAAGCGAGTTTAGTTACACTGTTCACAATTTTTATTTTATTTTACTTCTACGATATTAAAATTATTCAAATTGTTGATATTTTCTAATTGTTTATTGATTATTTATATTTAACTTCAATTATATTTTATTTTTAAATAAAATATGTTCAAAAGTATAAAGCGTTTGTGTTGATAATGAGAAGAAACAAAAATAAAATAATTATCTAAAGTTTAAATATCTATAGTTCTTAGAAAACACAGTGATAATATACATATATGTAATAAAAATTTTGCAATAGCTCAAACACTATATAAGTATATATGTATATATAGGAACCAAAATTATAATATATAAGCCTAAATTACAACACGACTATCTATACCCCAAACTTTTTAAGTCTATTTCTATCTTGTTCTCATGAAAATATGATGATCATCTAACCACTAAGAACATATACAAAGATAAATTAGAATACAATAGGATAATTATATTACAAGTATAGAAATAAAGAACAATTGTACTGTTCACGTCAACATGTAAACCTTATAATAAAATCACACGGTAACTTACAACTTAGCAGCGCATAACAAATCACCTCAATATGTCATCAAACAAGTTTAAAAGGTAAGCAACTCAAATATATTAAATTTACACCACACCCATGTCATCTAACATACAATTTCACATAAAGAAGAACACATTATAACAGTCACCCAAAAATGTAATTCAAGCGATCAATCAAAGTGAAAAACAACCCGGATAACAAGAAATTAACAATAATTAGTCTAACTTTCCTTACCTTACAAACCAAAAGGAAGAGGGAAGAGAAAAGCATTTCCAGGCGTTTTTAGAAAACTCCAAACAACTCAGCAGCTCTGATTCACAATTCTAAAGACTTGAATTGATGAACATAACTAATTAAAATTTCAAGGACATAATCACCTTCTTAAAAGCAAGCTAAAAAATAAATAGAAACTTTCATATTTGAGAGTCATTTTCTCTACTTTTCACTTTAAGATTTTTAAGATTGAACTTATGAGATTCAATTCTTAAAATAAATTTTATATAATTTTTTTCTTATGATCAAACTGAATTCTTACATAAAAAATAATAATAAAAAAATATTTAAAACATCTAAAGATTTATGAAGAATTTTTTAACTTTTAAAATCTTTCAACATCACATCTCAAAATATCATAATATATAACTATTGACAAAATAAAATAATTAAAAAAAATTACAATGTTACAAAAATTAGATCTAAAATTAATATATGAATGACACGGGAAAGCGATCAAGCAAATTTAGAAAAATTAGGTTATATTAAGCTAAAAAAAAATCATTGATTAGCGAGACCAGCCTTTTATATTGACGAGAAATATTAAATCTGCCAAAGTGTTTACCCAATTACCGTTCCCATTAGTTTTGACGAAAAGGACAAAAGCGTCATATCACAATATAATACTTGTTGTATTTTTATGGGTATTTTAAACAAGTCTTGTATTATTTGGTTTGCTTTCTTCATAGTGTTTATATGAATTTTTTTTAAATGTTCTAAAAGTGACGAAATTAATATTTTATTAATACTGTAAAAGAACATAGTATAATAATATTTTATACTTAAAAAAAATTAGGAGGGGTAAAATACAACATACAATAATAGGAAAAATTGTCATACTAGGTAGGAGTAATCTGAGGAAATATTTTTGTGAATGGATGGATTTGTAAAAAAAATCAACATCACAATGCAAAATATCAGCATACATCAACTTGAAAGAGGACATTTTTGCAGTCTAGTTTCTGTTCATGAAAGGGATGGACATCACACACCTTCCAAGGGAGTTGCTTTCTCATTAATAGAATGTCCTTTTATGTTATGTTATCATGTATCATTCACAACCTACATGAATGATTTTTTGCTCATACTACATCATCATAATCTTTAATTCTTCATCACATTTTTATTTCATTTTTGTCAATTTGATCAAATTACAAGCATACAACTCTACAATAAATTTAGCATATGTACATCTATAAAAAAGTAATAAATATATATGTTATTATTAGAGAAAATATTTTATTTTATAATTACTTAAAAATATTTTATTTATTTATTTTTTTAAATAAAACTATTAGAATAATATATTTTACTTTAATTTTTATTCATTTAAAATAAAAAAACATTTTATCTATTTATTTATAAAAATAAAAAACAACAGTTTCTTAAATTCTTAACCAAAACTAAACATTCCCAACATCTAAGACCAAAAAATGGTGTAGGACCTTTCCTTGCCAAGAACATGTCGTTTATTTATGTCATGACTATCTATCATGGCATGCTCATCACTCTTCAATCAATGTCTTGCATTTCACAACTTCTTTTGTGCATAAGTCGTTCTTAATATCACGCATTCGTGGAACACATATCAACTCATTAAATATGTGCATATTTAGATTTGGACTTTAAAATGATAAAAAAAATCAATTTTTTATTTGTGAATTATAATTTGTAATTTATGTATTGAAATTTGTAAAAATATTTTTCTAACTTTAATTCAAATACACTATATAACTATAGTTAATGCAAGAAACTAATTTTACATGTTATTAAAGTGGAATTTTTATATTAACAATTAAATAAAAATAAATTCCGAAATATTTTTTCTGAAGTAATCAATTATTGTAAAAATATTTATATGTATCACTAATAAAAAATAAAAATAAATAAATAAAAATGTTTTATTTTTAGTTAATACAACAACTGGATGGACCACTTGAAATTTCATTTTCTGCAGCTTAAAAGTAATTGCAGGAATTTAATGGACTAACTTGTTTGAGTTTTATGCTTGTGGAAAAAAAAAATATTGTTTTGAGTTATATTTTTTTAATTTAATATATGAAATTATATTTTATGGTCAATATTTTATGCAATCATAAAAGAGACTGAAGAGAATTACTGATCGAAAGTAGATGACAGTGAAGTACCAAAAAAAAGTTATAATATCATGAAAACAAATATGAAAAAATCAGCCATTTAAAAAAAATACTTAAGAGATTAATAATAAAATTTATTAAAATTATGTTAGAAATGAACTAAAAATATAAAAAAAAATGCACTAATAGTATTTAAAAATATGGATTAATTGTATTTTTACTTTATTAATTTTGATTTTTTACAAGATTATTTTTTATTTGTTTCTTGAATTAAATATTTAAAATTTTTAGAAAAATATAAATATTGGAAATTTATTATAAAAAAAAGAGAAATTAATAAGAAAAAAAGTGTGAGATATTTATGCAATTAATTATTAGTTCTTATATTTATAATTAATTTTTAATTATATATAAATAATATTATTTTATATATAAAAATTTATATATTATTTAGATAATAAATAAATAAAAGTTAATATTCAGTAAAAATAATTAATACTATTATATATAATTGTTGATATTTTCCTTAAAAAGAATAAAAGACTGCGGTGTGCAGTGCGCACACAAACGTGTGTGTCGCTCATGTGTTTTCACTGCTCCAAGTTCCAACTAACGGCAAGTGAAAGCGGGAAAAGGCACGACGCGCGACCCCACGCGCTACTTTTACATGCGAGATCGGGTCTTACGTGCTGCGCGTGACACAGTTCAGACACTGATTTCAAGTGTGGTTGTAACACACATAGGAGGGAGCGCTTACCCTACACGGACGATGAGCGAGACGCGAGTGTTAGGAACGCGCCGAGTAGTGGGTCGAAAACAAAGAGTGAGTAAGATTCTGACACGCTTCACTTTATGAAAATGAGAAAATAAAAAATAAAGAATGGGATGGGATGTAGCCTCGGTTGGTGTGGCCTACCAATTAAATCTCGCTTTTCAGATTCGGGTCCACCACATTCATTCAACATACTGCATTTCCAATATTAACCTTCTTTTACTGCACTTACTTTCTTCCTTTAAAATTTTCAAAATTAAAACTTACTGTATTAAAAATGTATCAATAAAATTTACCAAAATATTAAATAAAAAAATTAATTAATAAATATATCTTAAATTTTTAGTTTATTTTTAAATTATTTTTAAATTTTATTTATATTATATACATAAATTAAATAAATATTACTTATTTGTTAAATTTTAAAATATTTTAAAAGAAAAAAGTAATGTTTAAACTAAGATAAGTTGAATTTTATAATAAATATTAAATCAATTTAAAAAACTTGAGACTTATAATACAAATATCAAGTGATGTTTTAATCAATTTAATTTATTTAGTTCAAAATGTGTAGTGTTTTTTTTATAAATATAATATACTATAATTTTAAGAAATTTAATTTACTTACTTGAAAATGTGTAATGTTTTTAAACAATTGCACATGAAATTTAATTAAAAAATGTTACACTTTCTCTGTAACAATCCATAATAGTTGTTACATTAAATGACTTAATTACTAGTAACAAAACAACTACTAACTTAGAGTTATATATATACACATCTGAGAATATGTACTATATACACTGCATAAAAAATATATTTAAAAAAAGGTGAAGCAACTATACATAATATAAGTACGATATTCTAGTAAAAATATATTATACAGTCTAAGTTGTCGGTCAAACAACTCTTATACATAGTATTAGACTTTACTCCATCATTCATTAGATGATCTTCATTGCACAACACCTCTGTTTATCCCTACTATGCTTCGATACTAAGTATGATCATTGCAGTTCAGTCATATAAAAATACACAAGGGTAAATTAGAGTTCAAAACAACAACGTATATAACAAAAAATATAAGCAACAAGGTTTTACAACACATCTCATATTTTTAAGCATCAACATTTAAACACATTCAACTCTGTCAAATTTATAACTACATCTACTATAACACAAGGTCAACTTAAACGACACAACATTAACAACTCAGTTTCAACACATTATATTGATCACATATCAACACTATATATGAACAAAACACATCATATGCATATCATAACAATTATGTGCGTCATCATGCATTTCAATTAGGAGATCTCTTACAACACAAGATGACCAATTTAAGTGTTTGACCATACTGACCCAACAATACAGAGTGATCTTTTTGGCTTGTTAGATTAACAAAAAATTGGATATCAATCAATAACACAACAATATGGTTTCTTGGTTGTCACCACTTAAACAAGGAAATTTAATACCATTGTCAGGCTAAAGCATATAAGTATGACCCTACCACGACATTAACTAACTTAATTCAACTTCCTATGTGATTAGTCTATCGATTACCCTTCAAATACTACACCTTTCTGATACTCAATTAAATATTAAGTTATCGACTTTGTACTTTACTCGTTTGATCACTTGTAATTATTATAGCTCGACCTGACCCTATACTGTGGTTGCTTTATACATGTGTGTCTTAATCTTGTCCACACATGATACCAACTAAAGTATTATAGGAGACTAAATTGTCCACTTCAAATGCCAACTTCCCAATAAGGATTTTTTAACAAATTAGACTCTTAGAACACCACAACACAATATCCATATAATGAGATATGTAACCTTTTAAAACAACTTCTCTAATCATAGATTGGTCAACACAACTCAACAACACAATGTCTAAATGCCTAAACCATTCTCAATATTCATCTTCTCAACAACACAACAACATCATGCATATTCAACACAACTTCACAACTAACGCACAACTCTACCACTCGCAACACACATCTCACCTCATTTTCAACTCTCAATCATCATTCATCTCAAAATAATATCATATGAAGAATGAACAATATTTAATAATTTAAACAAGCAACACTTATACATACTTTACTCATATTCATAATGCATTAACCTGAAAACACAATTTCATTCCAAAAATCAACGTTCAACACCATACAGTCAGTGCCTAGCGTCATCTAGTTAAGAAACTCCTTGTCTCATCCATGTCTGATGCTACACAACCGGCGCCTGGTGTGGATAAGGCAGGGGCTCTTGAGACCTCACGCTTGGCATGGAAAAGTCCCACGCCCGAGCTTATCTTAAGCAGTAAGTCTTGGCTTAACTCACGCCTAGCGTCACCATATCGGTGCCCGACGTCATCCGAAAAGAGAACTTTGGTTTGACCATGTTGGACACGACTCAACCTTGGACCTAATATTACCAAGTCAGAGACTTCCCAATGTTGTCATGCCTGGTGTCATTTGAATCACACTTGACACCAATCCAATCTGAGACGAGTCTCTCTCCTCAAGCCTGGTTCCACCAATCCTACATCAGCGTGAATCGAGACCTAGACCTCTGGTTGAATTTCACTTGACGCCACAAAGGTGTGTCTTACGAGACGATCAATTTGCACTTATGCATATCACAATTTCTGCTAAATCTACCTCAAACTCAACCCAAACCACACATGCAACACAAGAATATATGCACATGTGTTATATACAACCCATATACAAACTCCATTTTCAACATGCAAACCATAATTCACCACAAAACATCAATTCCTCTTCTTAAATCCAAACCCCCATCTCTCTTTTGCAACCCACTTCGGTCAATCAACTCAACCATGAATCTCAATGGAATTCATATAACATACAAATCACACATCATTCAACAACTCAACAACGCCACTAAGAGTAATAATGTAGCTTCCTTCACCACAAGATCAATCCAAAAAATGAGAAAGAGAAGGAGAAGATCCCATGTGACTCTAAGGAGCTTCACACAACTACCCTAACTTGATTGAAAGTTCCTACTAGCCTAAATTACAAACAACACAACTTAAATGAAATTAGGGGAGAAGAATCATTCTAGAAAAGAAGATTGAGATAAGTAAAAGACTCCTGGACCAGAGCACCTCTCTCTAAGTTTATAATTAATGGAGTTTATGAGGTTCTATTCAAAACATAAACCTTATATACTTATCTCTTCAAGGTCAAACTGTATATCTACCCAAAGAAACTTCAAACACTACTAAAACTCATAAAGAATCCTTAAGTCTTAGAGTTTCTTAACTCATAGCAACAACTTAACTTAATAACCAAAAATGACTTAAAATATTTTTAACACTTCACAACTTACAATATTACACCTCCCTTCTCAGACACATAAAGTACATTAAGATAATGTTTGATTGAAGAAGAAAGAAAGGATCAGATGGGTCTTTTTTTTATTTTTTCTTGTTCGATTTTTAGGAAGAAGGTAAGAAAGAGCAAAAATTCTTATTTAATTTTAGCTTTATTATAATATTTAGTATAATGTAAAAAATATCCTTATTTATGTTTATAAGTTTTAAATTATAACTATATAAAAATAAATTATTTTAAAATCTAAGACTATGTGTATATTATTTCAACTCTCATCAATAAACTATCTCTAATAATTCTATTTAAATATATAAAATTGGAATTTAGATGAGTTGTAAAATGTTATTATTATTATTCATTATTAAATATTTATATAATATTTACTCTATTTTATAAAATGTATCATTGTAAGTTATTTTAGACAAATAAAATAATAATAAATAACTGATAGTTTTATAAAATTAACTTTATAATTAATCTTTTTTATTATATATGATACAACATAATAATATTTTTTAAAGTAAAATTATTAGAAATACAATTTGAAATGAAGTAATTAATATTATTTTTAAAAATTAAAAAATATTTATTTGAAGACTTCTTTTTTCTAACACGATAATACTTATTATGATTAAGAGAGTAATATCATTTCCTTAAACCAATAATAGATCTTAATTAAAGACGAAGAGGTGGCAAAAAAAAAAAAAAAACAATCTTATTATACTTATAAGAAAATATTAGTTTGAGTTTGACCTGTCGGATCAAGTCAAGAATCATTAAGGCTATTTATTTAGACTGGAAAATTGAATAAAAATGAATTAGGTGTAAAATTGAATGAATTGGTCAAAACTTATTAAAAACGGTTTCAATGTCGGTCCGACAATTTGGAGCAGGGATAACTGGTTTCAACCATTTTCAATTTTTCATGGAAAAAAATTTCTTAATAAAACATATTGTGATTATTGATATAATTCTAAACCAATATCATGATAATATTAATAAATTTCTAGTTGTAATTAATGATGAATGTGATTATATTTCATTAAACTTAAATGTTATGATATATTTAATTTGATATTATGTCTCATTTTAAATATTGTATATTATAAATTATAATATATGATATTTATCAGTAAATTATAATTTTCAATATAATAAAATTATGAGTTTTAATTATTTTTGTTTAATATCATTTAATTATTTAACATATTTAATTATTAATCAATTATAATTAGAATACGAAACCTTTAATTAGTACATTCACTTTCACACATTTAACCGTCCGTATAATTTTAATGAAATCTTTTAATAAATGGGAAAGCGATGTGTATCAAAAATTGTTTCTTTCCTAAAAGCAATTGTTCTTGTCGTTGGACATCCTACCTTCACTGCTTAATTATTATTGTACCGGAAGGTCCCTATCGGTCACGTTGA